AATCCCCCAGTGAGGGGCTGGGGTGTGGCTCAGTGGTAGAGCCCCTGTCTAGAATCCCCAGTGACGGGTTGGGGGTGTGGCTCAGTGGTAGTGTTATGCTCAGATCGTAGGGTCGCCAAAGACCACCAGGAGCCGAGCCACATATGCAAGAGCAAAGAGCTTTATTTGGGCTTAAACTCAGTTTCCTCACTGTCACCAACAAAGTGGATCAGAGAGGAGAGCCCCAAGCAGCTGCATGGCAGGGTTTTTATTGGGGTTTGAACAAGAACAGGGGATTTCCAGCTTAGCAGTTACACAGCTGGATGACACATCAGCAAGGGCAAGGTTGTTACAGAGTGATTGGCTAACTCACATAACAAACACTGAGGAGCTATCTATAGACCTCAGGAATGTTGGGTCAGGGGGCTGCCCAGCACAGGTGCCCCACCCTGAGATAAGATGCCTTCCCATTCTTGTGGCATCCTTAAGGCTGTTCCTTGGGTAGGGAATGTTATGGCCTTATTCATGGAATTGGTGACCTATAGCCTTGTTCCTGGGGCTGATGACTTTAGTGGGAGGAGGGTCAGCCTGGTCCTTTCATTCCCTTCTCAAACAGGATACAATCTCAAATCTTTGAGATGGGTCCAAGGGCTGGTATTGAGACTTTTTCCTAATGCTAGGCATAATTGTGCAAGGGGCATGAAGCATGACTAGAAGAAACAGAACTAAGGGCCAATTTTCTGGTTTGTCAATTGACATTATAGGAACCCATTCCTTATGCCAGGGAGCCCCTTTTGACTTAGCATTTCAGCCTGTTAGGTAGGATAAAGGCAGACAAATATCTCTTTTTTCTGTAACTTCTTTAGGCTGACATTAGGATGAAGATATTGGGGACTCAGGAAGGCTGAAAGCTAGTCAAAAGCTATGCAATGGGGCACTGTTTAATTGATGATCCAGTTGAAGAGACAAGGAGCCATCACATTGGCTGGACTGGCTTACTTCAGCTTTCAGCAGGTCCAGATTTCAGCTCACAGTCCATAGCTGATCCCTGAATGGAGTCTGTCAGCCAGGTAAAAACCTGCTGAGACAAATTCAAACTAGAGACGGAAGTTAAAAATTGTCTAGTAAATGGGGAAAGTGAAGAATCCCAAGACCAAGGGAAAAACTTATCA